GGACGGGGCAGCATCCGCGCCGGGAAGGGGGCCGTGAAGCGCTGTGCGCCCACAGCCCCCCACCCGCACCCCCGGCGTGTTCTGAGAGGCCAAAACTCTCCACACGGAGCCATCTATAGAAAAAACCTGTCTCACTGTAGCTGGGGTAGACACAGCTGATGCCCACGGAATGTTTTCCTGCTCATAATGCTCCTGTCCGCCCTGTGATCCGTGTGGATGTTCCTGGGAACGCAGGGCTGGTGCCAACGCAACCCCAAGGTGCTGGCGTTGGGGCAGCAGCGCCCACCGCGGCTGCGGGGCTTGCACGGGGCTTGCACTTCACCTGCTGCCGCACAGAGGGTGACAGAGCCCTGGGAGGGTGACAGAGCCCTGGAACTGGCTGCCCAGGGAGGCTGTGGAATCTCCCTCTCTGGAGATCTTCCAAACCCGCCTGGATGCCACCCTGTGCCACATGCTCTGAGTGTCCCTGCTGGAGCAGGGGGTTGGATTGGCTGATCCCTAGAGGTCCCTTCCAACCTCAGCCATTCTGTGAGTCTGTGATAACAGCCGTGTTATTAGTGGTGTTCGGTCAGCGGGGTGACCAAATAGCACTGTGTGCACTCACACCTCCCTCATCTGGAGTGGTCACTGCTCAGCACAGTGCTGGTTACTAACTACATCGTGGCTTCCAGGTGTTTCCACCTCCTGCTATGAGGGATCTTTCTAAACTTCAACGGGATGTGAGGAGGATCTCTCATGGGATGGGTAGTTTGGTAACTGAAGGCTATTGGTGAGTGAAAGCAGCTTGCCTGGAAGGGAATTAGTGTGAATCTGGACACGTTGTTCCTTGTCATGGTTACTGTATATCTACAATGTAAAGGTGTTTCTATATGTTTGCAAAGTGATCATAGATTCTAAACATAGACATCCAAACACAGATCTGTGTTTACAAAGTGATCGTAGATTCGTAGGTAGTGATCATAGAGCCACTATGTTAGTGGTTAAACAGCCACGAACAGTCTGTTTCTCGCAGACTTTGTGCCCATCCCTCCAGACAAAGCTCCAGGCAGTTGGCACCGCTCGGTATCCTGGAGCTTTTCCTGTTGTTTTGCAGGCGAGAAGGATGTCTTTGTGTGCATGCCCACAGGGGCAGGGAAATCCTTGTGCTACCAGCTCCCTGCAGTCCTCGCCGTGGGCATCACCATCGTCATTTCACCTCTGATTGCCCTGATTCAGGTAACCGCCCTGGCTATTTATGGAAAATCGTACTTGCTATGGCAAGGAATTGATTTTTGTCTCTATTTTCTCCACTCTTCTCCCTCCCCGCTATGGCAAGGTGCTCTACAGAAGCACCAATGTGCAGTACCTCAAATGGACCAAACTGGATCTTTCCCCAGAACATAACTGCCATTTTACCTGTTAAGTAATAACTCTGGAAACAGTGAAGTTGCCTTTGAGTGCATAATTTGTTCTGCATCAAACTTCTTGTTGCAGATTTTCTTTCTGTCACAGCTGTTTTAGCAGAACTGCTCTATTTTCCCTTTTCTACTGTTTTATCACCTATGGGGAGGAATGTTTCCCTGCAAGAGCAGCTGAAACAGCACTTAAACTTCTGTGAAGCGTCAGTTTAATATTGCACGATATCTGGTGTTGTAGGTTGCTGTTTTAATTCCTCTGTTATCTCTTAAAATGTGCACTAAGACTTGGTGACGCATCTCAGAAAGCGGTTATAAATAGTGAATTCTTTCCAGGTGAGAGAATGTCTAATTAAGCTTCAGGGAAGTTAGTAGCTGTTCCAGCTCAGGCAGTATTTTTATCATCAGTGAACCAGAAGTGATAAAACAAAACAAAAAAACACTGGTAAAGTTTCTAGGTGAAGCACAATGTGTCAGTGATAAATATGCTAAGACGGGCTCAGGGAGTCCTACGGAACGGAGCTGTTGTGAACTTGGAAGTCGTCTCATCCAGCCCTCAGGCAGCGTGGCTACACCCAAGATGATCGTGGTGCATTTCAGTATAGTCCAATTTAGAGTTTAATCTGTTTAGTTTCTTATAGGGAAGGTGAGAGTCGACTTTGTGAGCAGAAAGCAGTGGATATTGGCAGCAGTCTAGTGACTGAGACCTGGTGAAGATCAGTGCATATTGACTGAATATCACATACCTTGAAGTAAAAAACAGGCAAATTCCTGTATCCAGTGTTCATTTGAATGTAATCTTGTGTTTCTGGATTTTCAAGGCCTGATTCTCATCCAGACTCAGTTCTCTTGCAGTGGTGATTTGCATGAGTCTTGTATTCTGTCTTACCTCAGCTGTGTTTATAAACTTCTTCAGATATTTTGGAGCACATTTGGAAATGTGCTCTGTTACCAAAGGGTGGTGTTATTCGTTTTCCATGTACGACAGCTTGATAGTGTAAATCCTGAGGCATGTAGGTGGCTTTTGTTCCAACTCGGTCTCCATACGACAAGATGTTTAGCACGTATGCAAGGTATTTTGTAATTTTCCTGATGATGTTCCCAAGCAGCAAAATGACTATGTAAAAGAGCACGGAGACACAAAAATGCAGGTGGATGGTAGAACCGAATAGATTTGATTGCAACTAAAGATATGGGCAGCTCAAGATGAGGTTCTAAATATCCAGATTGTGTGTGGATGTTGTCTTGAGACTCAGTCCTGTAGGTGAAGCTGGATCTCATCTGGATCTTCTCAGCAGTCTTTCTTTGATGATGGTTGGCTTTCCTCAATTCCTTTTCCTTTTAACTATTTTTTTTTATTTACTTATTTAATCCAGGACCAAGTGGATCACTTGCTGGCTCTGAAGATCAAAGCCTGCTCTCTGAACTCCAAGCTTTCAGCCCAGGAAAAGAAGACCATCCTGGCTGACCTCGCGAGTGAGAAGCCCCAAGTAAAGCTCCTGTACATAACGCCAGAGATGGCAGCTGCCTCCTCCTTTCAGCCCACTCTGAACTCCCTGGTGTCCCGAAACCTCCTTTCCTACCTGATAATTGATGAAGCTCACTGTGTCTCTCAGTGGGGACACGATTTTCGACCCGATTACCTGCGACTCGGCGCCTTGCGCTCTCGCATACCCAATACACCATGTGTTGCCTTGACTGCCACTGCCACCAAGCAGGTCCAGGAGGACATTGTGGCAGCTCTTAAGCTCAAGCAGCCTATTGCCACCTTTAAGACTCCATGCTTCAGATCTAACTTGTTCTACGACGTGCAGTTCAAGGAGCTCCTGACTGATCCATATGCAAACTTGAAGGATTTCTGTCTGAAAGCGCTCGAAGTGAAGAACAGCGCGGGGGTAGGTTTTACATTGGGGGAAGAAGCCTGAACTGAACAGAATATTCTTCAATTTTGCTGCAGTCAGTATAGCCCTGTTAGGTCTGTCATGGGAAAGGAAGAAGTCCCTGGAAGAGAAGTGTTCACATGTATTTTGTAGTTCGTCTCAAATAAGTAAAATATGAAGCTGTGTTCCCTTCAAACAAAAGCAACCTTAGAAATGCGTTGCTTTAAATTAAGATGTGTTCAGAACATGCAAATAACATTTCTCTTTTGGTTCTTCTTCTCCCAGATAAACAGGGTGAGTTTAGATTGTCTAGTGTGGAAAAATACAATTAGGGGGAACTGAAGCACTTGGAGTGCTGAATTTCCTGCTGTAACACTAATTTCCAGAAAAACTCTGAGCAAGTCAAGTCATCAGTTTATTATCTGTAAAGCAGGGAGAGAGACTGTTTTTACCTTGTACACAGCGGAAAAGGACTGAGATATTTGGTGAATATCCCCTCAGCCTCACGGGATTCATGAGGAGACTCTGGTTTACTTCTGTGCAGCAGCAGTATCATTTGCTTATTGGGAATCAGCTTGGAAAAGAACTGAGTCTTATGCTTCCCTGTTGTCCCTTCTGCACTAATGACCTCAGCTTTGCAGAGGAGCTTACCACAGTGTCCTGGGTTTTCTCTCCTGTGCACGCAGGTGTACTCGGGTTGTGGCATCGTGTACTGCAGGATGAGGGATGTGTGTGACCAGCTGGCTATTGAACTGAGCTACCGAGGAGTGAAGGCCAAGGCTTATCACGCAGGTACTGGAAGCCCTGTCTGCATCTCCCAGAAACTGGTAAATTGAACGGTATCACATTAAGATGTGGGTCAGAGTGAGCCAGACAGCAAATTTCTGGGCCTAGTTTGGGATGTGTTAGACATTGTAGCTGACAGGTCTTCGAGGTAAGTACGAGGCATTGCACAGAATGGTATTCCCTGCCCTCCACAACTTTGACTTGTACTGGATCTTGCATGGCCTCCATATAACAGCTTCTGCCCCAGGAGGATTCTGGATTTTCCTGTCTGAAGGGAGTCAGATGCTGATGTCTTCTGCTTGCTCACAGGCCAGTTTAAATATAGGTAGAGAGCAGTGTGTTTATGAGTCTGTTTTTAAGTGATGGGGCTGGCTTGCAGTGGGGGAACGGAAGAGGAAGAAAATATTTCTACTATTCTTCTAGTACTTTTAGTAGAAAATACTTCTACTTCAACCTTCTTATTTTCTTATTTATTTATTCTCTCATTTTACTTCCAGGGCTCAAGGCAGCTGACAGGACTTCAATCCAGAATGAATGGATGGAGGAGAAGATCCCAGTTATTGTTGCGACCATCAGTTTTGGAATGGGAGTAGACAAAGCAAATGTCAGGTGTGTGAGGCTGGGTGCACCACCAGAGACCAGAAACAGCAGCGGGGAGGGAAGGCCTCCATCCTGTTACATGGCACATGTGACTCACATTCCTGATCAGCACTTGCTAAATTCCACAAAAACACAGCTTTTCTACATTAGAAGCAGCAAAAATGAACATGCAGAAGTTTTGTAAAGAAACTAAAAGAGCAGCAGAGCTCAGCTTTGCTAGTCGTCCTAGAAACTAATAAAATTGGAGAAATGCTGCTTCTTACCACACCCTCCACGTTTGCAACAAAAGCCACCCAGACAGTCACAGCTGTCCCTTTCACTTCTCTTGATGTTGCCCTCAGAAAGCAGCAGAAAGGAAATTTTCACCCAAAATAGTTTGCAAACCCTCTATTAAAATAGTGAGAACCAACTTTTGGAGACTTGGAAACAAACTTTTGGAGACTAACTGCAAAC